ATTAGGCCACTTTATGTAGTTCCACAACTCACTGATGGTCTGTGTCTTAGTCATCTAGTTCTGCTATAACAGAAATACACAAGTGGATGGTTTTAACAAAGAGAAGTTTATTTCCTCACAGTAAAGTAGACTAAAAGTCCAAATTCAGGGTGTCAGCTCCAGGGGCTTTCTCTCTCTGTCACCCTTTTCACTGATGTTCCCCCGGACTAGGGGCTTCTCCAGGCAAGGACCCTGGGTCCAAAGGACGCACTCTGCTCCTGGCACTGCTTTTTTTGGTGGTATGAGGTCCCCCAACTCTCTGCTTGCTTCCCTTTCATCCCTTGAAAGATAGAAGGTAGTGCAGGCCACACCCCAGGGAAACTCCCTTTACATTGGATCAGGGATGTGACCTTAGTACAATCCCACCCTAATCCTCTTTAACATAAAATTACAATCACAAAAAGGAGAACAACTACACAACACTGGGAATCATGGCCCAGCCAAACTGATACTTTTTTGGGGGGACATAATTCAATCCATGACAGTCTTTTTTTTCTCATTTTTTTCCTCTCTGTGTTTTATTTTGGGTATGTTCGGTTGCTATGTATTCAGGTATGCTAATACCATCTTTTGCAGGGTATAATCTGCTGTTGGAGTCCCTGGTGCTCAACCATTTTTACCCAGAGAGGCACTTTGGAAGAAAGGCCTGGCAGTCTGTTTCTGAAAGGTCATAGTCATTTAAAACCCTATGTGCTGTTCTACTCTGAAGCACATCAGGGCACCATGAGTCAGAATTAACTCAACAGCAACTGTTTTGCTTGTTTTAAATCTGCTGTTAATACCATCTAGAATATTTTTCATTTCAGCATTGTATTTTCCATGTCTTTGATTTGGATCTTTCTTTATATCTTTTATTTCTCTAACATGCTTATGATTTCCTGTATTTTCTTGAGCACATGAAATATAGTTATAAATAATTAGCTTTTTCCATCGTCTGTGCTGTTCTTGTGTCCATTTCTCTTGATTGATTTTTCTCCCCATTATGGGTCTTATTTCCGTTTCTCTTTGCATATGTGGTGTTTTTTGATTGATCGCCAGATGTTGTGGATTCTGCCTTTTTGGGTGCTAGGTATTTCTTTATCTTCTTAAATATTCTTGAGATTTGTTCTGAGTTGCATTTAAATTATTTGGAAACAGTTTGAGCTTTTCAAGGCTTGTTTTTAAACTTTGTTAGAACTAGAGTAAGCTTTAGTTCAGGGCTTATTTTGTTCTACCACTGGGACAATGCCATTCTGGGACTTTATTTGATGGCTCTTATATTAAAAAGTTTTTCCACTCCTCTGGTTGGAACTTGAACTGTACCCACCCCTGTGTGAGTTCCCAGATGGTTTTGTGTACTTTATTCTTATGATTCTTTTCCCAGCTTTTAGTGGTTTCTTAAAAATACAAACAAATAAAAAAGTTGCTGTCGAGTAGATTTTGACTCATGGCAACCCCATGTGTGCAGAGTAGAACTGGGCTCCATAGGGTTTTCAAGGCTGTGACCTTTTGGAAGCAGGTCACCGGCCTTTCTTCTGAGGTGCCTCTGGGTGGGTTTGAACCTCCAAGTTTTTGGTCAGTAGTCAAGTGCTTAACCATTTGCACCACCCAGAGACTCCTGGTTTCTTCACAGGTATGCACTAATTGGTACTTAGCTGAAGATTCTTTGTGAGGAAACTCCTTAAGTTTTCTGGAACTCTCTTCCTGTGTACAACTCTGTCCTCTTCATACTCTGTCTTGTGAATTCTACATGTTTTGGCCTCCTTCTATTCTTACCTCTGTCTTCTCAACTTAGGGAGAATGCCAGGCTCTGTTTGTGTTCCCATCTCTGACCTGTTGTTGGAAATTCTCCAGGAAGGAAGACTGGACAATTACACAGCTTTTCCCATTTGTTTCCCTTCTTTCAAGGATTGCTGTCAGGTACTGCCTATTGCTCAGGGTCTGAAAATCATTATTTCATCTATTGGGTCCAGTTTTCTAGTTGTTTAAGGCAAGAGAGCAAATCCTGTCCCTGTTACTCCATCATAGCTAGAAGTAGATGTTCCGCTTCAGTTCTTAAAAATTCTGTTCTGTTGTTGCTTTGTTTTTTATGCTGCTTCGGCGCACCTGGTGCCAGTCTTATTCTGTTGCCCATATAAATTATTGGTCTTTTTCCCTAGAGGATCTGGCTTTTTCCCTTTTTTTTAGTTTGTTTACTAAGATGTATCTCAGAGTAGATCATCAAAAGTCGATTTTCTCATGTGTCCAGTTAATCCCTTTTAGTATGTGTACTTCCAGAAAGTGTTCGTGGATTATAAATATTTATTATTTTTTACTATCTTGTTTTTCTTTTTTAGGGGTTCCAATTATATGTATGTTGGGTTTTCTCTGCCTGTGTTCTATTTCAACCACTTTTCTATGACCATCTTAAATTTTTCTCTTATTTTCTCATTTGGTAATTTTCTTGCTTTTTCTTTATCCTGTTCAATTTTTTTAGTTGATTGTATTCATCATTCAGTAGTAGTTAATTTAATCTTCTACTTCTAATATTATTTTACCTTTCTTTTTTCATTTTTTCCTGAGTTCAGATCAGCTCATTTCTTCATGTGTATATGTCTGTCACAATTTCTGGTATTAGTTTTTTGATTTCTGAATTTGGGTACAAATGCTCACTTAGTGATATTTAATTCAGTATTATAATTTGTTTACGCTTTGTGGTTTTTGTTGGCATAGGAGATTGTCATCACCCGAAACATTTTTATTCTCATTTTCTGCTTTCCTCCCAGAGTAGGTTTACATTGATGAAGGTGCTATCTTTGCGTTTATGAACAGTCTGGGTGTTTTAGTAGTCTATAAAATTTCTGGTTCACGAACACCCTCTTCTGTCAGTAAAGAAAAGTGCAGTTTATTTAATGGATGGTTTTCTTGGAAGTTCTGGAGGAAGGAGTTGTATATTTTTCTTTTGTGTTATGTAGGATCCTGAATTCCCCACTCTTACTTCTTTTTTCCCCTGCTACCCAGTCTCCAAACAGTGTCTCTACCTTCTTTTTACCATCTTCTACCCCTAAAGTGTTGCCTTTCCAGGACTGCGCCCTTGAATCCTGTGCTCACATTAAGTTCCCTACATGTAGTCAGTGCTCTGATCTTCATTATTATTTTTACACTTAGTTCACCCGCTTTCTCACTTCCGTGCATTTTTTTCTGGACTTCCTAGCGCTGAAATTGGCTTTATGTGGGAGCCCCAGCGTGAACTCTGCTGGAAAGCATTTTTTATTTTTCTTCCTACAGGTTATTTGAAATTTAAAGTGTTCTCTGTCTTCTCGTTTTGCTGAAGACATGGGATTTTTGTGGTTTCATTTTCTGTTATGAACCCTGGTGGCACAGTGGTTAAGAGCTTGACTGCTACCCTAAAGGTCAGCAGTTCGAACCCACCAGCCACTCCTTGGAAACCCTATGGGGCAGTTTTACTCTGTCCTGTAGGGTTGCTGTGAGTTGGAATCAACTTGACAGCAACGAGATCATGGGATTTGCTGTTAATATTGATCTATATAGATTTTTTGGAGACTGTGTGGAGAGAAGATTTAGGCAAAATTGGTACTTCTGTTCCCTATGACCTTAAAAATACGCTTCTTTAGAACTGTTAATAGTTTTCATATACTTTAGCTACAAAAAACTAATTTTGAAGCTTTTCTTGAATCAGAAAAAGATTGTGGCATATGACATGGCGTCTGACCTTTTAAAATGACTAAAATTTGCAAATAAGGGACTTTGGAATCTTACTCTTTCAGATAACAGCACAGACTTCTGCAGTAGGATAGTTTTACTGTTTTCTGTGTAAATTTTGAATTCCAGATTGTTCTTATCTATGTGTGCGATGTCTGTAAAGTTAGGTTAAAGTTACTATATAATACCTTTTAGCACTTTAATGAAATAGTGAATTATTGTTACTTGACCTTTTGAAAAGGTCAGTAGTACATTTTGTTTCATTTTTTTAAAGGACATTTAAATGTAATGAAAGTCAGAGACTAATATTACCATGAAAGTAAAGGTTATGGGGTACATTTAATTGTGTTCCTCTATTTTTGAAACTGCTTTGAGATAGACTGTGCTAAAATTCCACGTGATAATTGTTTTTTCGAGAATTTTATTACTCTTTTTCATTTTATACTGTTAGAGTAAAAGATTATATTTCTGTTTGTCTTTTTCTGCTTACCTTTGCTCAAATTTCATGTGTATTATCCTATTTAAGGTACAAAGTTTAAACTGCTTACCTATTCAGTTTCCCAAGAAATAAAACTGAACCTGTTTCTCAGAGAATAGTTCTTCTTTTCCTTGGAAAAACGTTTGATTAAAATTTAGTATGTTCAAATACATAGCTAGTAAATCTACAAATTAAAATAAATAACTTAATATGTTAGTATTTTATTTATTAAAGGTTCGCAAGTGTGGGAGATTGAAATATACTCTGATTTTTAAAAATATTGCTGTGTATTTAGATTGTGTGGCTAAATATATTACTGTTAAAATCTAGGAAGTAAATTGAAAATACGAAGCCCATAATGTATTATATGTTCTTATTTTATGTTATAATTTTTGTCTTTCATATTCAAAGCAATTTGAAAGAATTTCCTTTTTCATAAATTTATTTCATGAGAAATAACATTTCATATTTTTTATGTCTACATTAGCAATTTGTCAGTATTTCTTGTGTTTACGCGGGCGACTTTCTCTTTAAAGACAAAGGCCTCTCTTAGAAAGTGTTTTAATTTCCCAATAATTACAACGTTTCTGATGGATAGTTTTGACTTATTTTCCCTCAAATGCAATACTCTGTTGCTTGTATCTTAACAATATAAAGGTGTGGATCAAGTTGATACCTTTTAGAAAATAAGGGAAAAATAATTGCCTTTTCTATGTAAGTCCATGTTTAACTTATTTCTCTTAGCATTAGGTGAAAGATGAAACTTCCAAATCTGAGTAAACCTTCTCAATATTTTCCACAGGGAAGAGACTTCCACCTTAAAATATTGTTGCCTGAAGATTTGCAAATGAAGAATGCAAGGTGATGGGGCTGTATACGTGTATCTCTGTGGGGCTGGTAGTCAATTTGGGATGAACATATCCCAGTGACTAGGGTTTTTTTGCTTAAAATCCTTTTTGATCATTCAACCAGAAACATTTTTGATTTTTCCAAATCAGTGTGGCATATGTAAGTGATTTTCCCTTGTACGGAAATGCTTTTCAAAGGTAACACGTTAATTCTGTAGTTTTTTGTTTGATTGTTTAAAGTGGTAACCAGCAACTGTGTGTACTTCACTAACACGTACCGAACAGGAGTGTAAGGGGACAATACAAAGAGATTCGAAAACTTTGTTTCTGATATTTTTCCAGTTATTTATGTGTGTATTCAATCTGTGGAGCCCTGGTGGCGCAGTGGTTAAGAGCTCAGCTGCTAACCATATGGTCAGCAGTTCTACTCCACCAGGCACTCCTTGGAAACCCTATGGGGCAGTTCTGCTCTGTCCTGTGGGGTTGCTCTGAGTCGGAATCGACTTGATGGCAACGGGTTTACAGACACAGAGAAAGACACACACAGAGGGAGACGCCATCAGATGACACAGCAGATGCGTCTCTGGCATCTGTAAGGAACATCCAGGGTAGCCAGCAGTCAGCAGAAACCAGGAGAGAGGCCCAGAGGTAACATGGCTGAGAGCCTCATTTGGACCTTCAGCCTCCAGAACTGTGAGAAAATAAATTCCTGTGCTCTAAGGTGCCCACTTTGTGGTATTTTATTATGCCAGCCGTCAGAAACCAAGGCAGTGATAGATGAAAAGGTAGCAGGGAGACTGTTTTCAGACACATGGGGTGTGAACTGTCAAGGGGAGCCATTTAGCAGGTATTAGTGGTCTCTTGGTCTGCAGCTTAACTGTGAGATGCGTGTAGATGTATGCAGGGATGTATGTGGACGTCGGAGCAGGGACGGAATCTGGGCCCATGAAAGTGGCTAGACTTCCAGTGGGGTGAAAAGAGAAGGCCTTGAGGGCAGACTACCATTGAAAGGACTGATAAAGAGGAAGTTAGAAGAAGGCTAAGGATTGACTGAAAAAGTAAGAGGACAGTTTGGAGAATAATGTGTCTAAAGCCAAATCAAGAGAGAAGTAAGGAGGAAATCTACCACCTGTCTTTTCGTTTGTTACACTGTGGTGGCCTGAGTGCCACCATGAAGCTGGAAGCTATGCCACTGGTATTTCAGATACCAGCAGGGTCACCCACGTGGACAGGTTTCAGTGGAGCTTTCGGACTAAGACAGACTAGAAAGAAAGACTGGTGATCTTCTTCCGAAAATTAGCCAGTGAAAACTTAAGGATCACAACAGAACACTGTCTGACTTGCCTGCTTTGGACGCATCAGCAGGAGGGATCCAGCGCTGGAGATACCATGTTTGGTGATGCCACAGACGTCATGTTTGATGAAATAGAGGGCCAGTGAGGGGGAGGGGGATGCCCAGCGAGATGGATTGGCACAATAGCTGCAAGGACGGACTCGAGCACGCCAGCGATGTTGAGCCAGGATCAGGCTCCGTTTTGTTTTGTTGGATGTAAGGTTGCCACGAGCCGGAGTTGACTCAATGACAGTTCTCTATCTGTTTGTCTGTCTGTCTAAGGAGGTTGGTTGACATTGCTGAGTGTTGCAGAGGGATCATGTTACATCTTGTTATGAATAGGTTTGGTGCAGTGACAGAAGCCAGGTTGTGCCCAGGTTTTGGTGTGAGTGGGTAGTGTGGAAATGGAAATAGTATACGTTCCTTTGAGGAGAAGGAATAGCCAGAGAAGGATGTGTGGTCAAGAACTCCAACCCAAACCCATTGCCGTTGAGTCAATTCTGACTCATAGTGACCCTGTAGGATAGAGTAGAACTGCCGCATAGAGTTTCCAAGGAGTAGCTGGTGGATTCGAACTGCTGACCTTTTTGGTGAGCAGCTGAGCTCTTAACCACTGTGCCACCAGGGCTCCAGGGTCAAGAAAGAGTTACAATAATGTTGTTTTTTTCAGATGAGAGATAACTGTAGCTTGTCAGTTAAGGAGAAAAAAATTAGCAGAAAAGGAGAGGATGAGGATACCAAAAGAAAGGCATAATCAGTGAATCAAAGTAACTGAGCTGGTGGCAAGGGATGGAAAGCATCCTTGGAGAGGGGGCTGCCTATGGGTGGTGCTCCTCCATGAAGGGGGGAGACAGGGATGGGCCTGGGGATGGCAGACCAAGAATGGAGAGAGAAGTGATGGCTTGAAAAGGCCACGTTGGGGAAAACTCAAAGAGGTTCCCACCACAAATGGTTAAGTGCTTGACTACTAGTTGAAAGGTTGGCAGTTTGAACCCACCCAGAGGCACCTCAAAGACAGGCCTGGTGATCTGCTTCCAAAAGGTCACAGCCTTGAAAACCCTATGGAGCAGTTCTACTCTGCACAGGTGAGGTCGTCAGGAGTCAGAATCGACTTGACGGCAACCAATGATAGCAATAGAAGAGTTACTTTAGCAATGCTGAGTGCACAGCAGAGGTGAGCGAGTCGATAGATGGAATTAACTTATCCTACCGACATTATTAAAAATATGTGTCCTTTTGGTTAAATTAACCTGGAATTTGAGGAAGATTACATTGCTATGTATGCTTTTTCATTTACCAATTCCTTATATTATAATCAAAACTGTTGGTTTTATTTAACCTCCCTTGGGAGAGCATCTGGTTCAATAGAGTATATATTTAATAATCTAGATATGTTAAAGTTAAAAAAAAGATGTTTTTTTTTGCATGTCATTTACTGATTGCAGTTATTTATATTTCAAAATAAAATTAGTACTGACAGTTCGAAGACAAGACTTGCAGCAGTATCAGTGGTAAAAATTTTATTAACTTGTCAGAATTATGTTTATGTCATTCTTTTGTATGTATGTGCATGTTACGTTGGCATACAGATAAGTTTTTTCCTTTTAATTCTGAACAGTGAACAATTTTTCCCTTTAAAATTTTAGATTACTGTGTAGTTGGCAGCTGAGAACAATCCTAAATGGATACCATCAAATAATACAACAGGTAAGTCCTTTAAAATGTTTATGTTTTAAGTGTGGATAAAAAAATCCTAAATTTACTTGATTCAGTTTGCAGGATATGGTGACAAACTAGTTTGATGTCACCATGCTGAGTTTCATAGTATCCATACATTGTATAAAATATTTTCTCTCTCGGAATTCTCAGCAGATCTCCAGGAAACATTTATGTTGAAGCTGATTGCCATTCCTGATACTTTACGTTCCGTTCACCCTTATCCATGTCCATCACTTCTTGAGTGATTTATCAGCTAAGTCTGAGTAGTGGTGGGAGGAAAAAATCCAATGGACCATTTAGGAGTTATAGGCTATCTGTGGCAAACATGGGTTTGTAGCTCCAGATTAGCAACAGCAAAAGGACTGGTGGAAATCACTTAGGATCGTGTATACTTGCATAATGAGAGTAGTTGTAGGACCAGCATAGGTGATATATAGACAGAGTTCATTTATTCTTAATGTTTAGGTTCCTCTATCTGAAAATTGTCTTTAAAGATTAGAGAATCTTAAAAAAAAAAATCACTGTTACTAAAACAATGGAAAATAATGAAATACCTCTTGTAGAAAATAAATGTTATTAGAACTGCATTTCTTTGGATGCTTTGGTCGTTTTGGTGTTTTTCCAGGTTTCTTATTTTTTCTCTGTCTTAGGTTCAGGTTATTGTCTCTGATAAGTGACAGTGACAGTCACTCTCACATAAGCATAACTGGACTGAAAAGAAATACAGGAGATAAACTATTGATTTGTAGAATGTATGCTGTCATTGCTGGCGGTATAATTAACAACAGTTTTTTAAGGGGATGGTTAAATTATTTCTCTCTGTCTTCTCCCTCTACCCCCCCACCCCATGACTGAGTATACTGTATACTAAATTTTAAGAAATGAATCTATTGAGATATTTAAATAGCCCGAACAAAACTTGTTAAGAAAGGGCTAAGTGTAAAGTAATATCTATAACTGTTTCTCTCTACCAATTTGCCAGGAGCTTCTTAGAAAAAGTCCTGTTTACCTGTGTATCTCCCCTTGGCCCCAACTGGTCAGGTACTCAGAACCTAGAATTAATGTCTTTTTTTTAACAGTTTCTACATGTGACATTGATTACATTCTTTGAGTTGTACAACCATTCTCACCCTCCTTTTCTGAGCTGATCCTCCCCCACTAACATAAAGTCACTGCCCCCTAAGGTTCCTGTCTAATCTTTCACACTGCTGTTGTCAATTTGATCCCATAGAGATAGTTCTTAAAAGAGCATACCTTTTCTACTAGTTAAGCTAAACTATTGTTTGGTTAAGAAAACTTCAGGGATATTTTTGGTTTGAGATTTAGAGATTATCTCGGGGCAATAATGTCAGGAGTTCATCCAACCTTCAGGGCTCCAGGAAGTCTGGTGTCCATGAGAATTGGAAATTCTGTTCTGCATTTTTACCCTTTGATCAGGATTATTCTATAGAATCTTTGATCAAAGTGTTCAGTAATGGTAGCCGGGCACCATCCAGTTCTTCTGGTCTCATGACGGAGGAGGCAGTTGTTCATGGAGGCAGTTAGCCACACATTCCATATCCTCCTCCTGTTCCTGATGTTCCTTCTTCCTCTGTTGCTCCCGGCGAATGGAGACCAACTGTTGTGCCTTGGATGGCCGCTTACAAGCTTTTAAGACCTAAGGCACTATGCATCAAACTAGGAGGTAGAACAGAAGCACTAAACATGTTATTGGGCCAATTAACTGGAGTGTCCCGTGGAACCATGACCCTAAACCTCCAAACCAAGAAACCAAATCCCATGAGGTGTTTGGTTGCACATAGGCAGCTTCAGCAGCTACTGTTTTTTTTTGATCGTTGTTGTAAATGTATCATGCAGCTTTTACCAATTTAACTTTTTACCAGTGTACAACTTATTGACAGCAATTTCAATAATTGTACAACCCTACCCTTAATCAATGTGATATTTCCTTACCAGTACCTCCTCCTTTTCCTCTCCCTCCCACCCCTAGTAAATAGTAATATTTGTCATGCAGTGTTTGTCCTTTCATGATTGACTTATTTCACTCATCATAATGTCTTCCAGCGTCATCCATATTGTAGCCTGTATCAGGACTTCATTTCTCTTACTGGCTGAGTAGTATTTCATTGTATGTATGTACCACATTTTCTTTATCCATTCGTCTGCTGGTGGGCATTTAGGTTGTTTCCACCTTTTGGCTACTGTGAATAGTGCTGTGATGAACATAGGCCTACAGGTCTCCTTTTGAGTCTCTGCTTTCAAATCTTTTGGGTATATACCTAGGAGTGGAATTACTGGGTCACATGGTAGTTCCATTTTTAGCTTTTTGAGGAACCTTCCCACTGTTTTCCACAACAGCTGTACCATTTTGCATTCCCACCAGCAATGGATAAGGGTTCCAATTTCTCCACATCCTCTCTAACATTTGTTATTTTCAGGTTTGTTTGTTTTTTTTAAATCTTAGCCGCCCTAGTGGGAGTGAAATGATAGTCTCATTGTGGTTTTGATTTGCATCTCTGATGACTAATGATGCTGAGCATTTTTTATGTGTTTGGTGACCGTTTGAGCATTCTCTTTGGTGAAATGCCTATTCAAGTCCTTTGCCCATTTTATGATTGGGTTATTTATCTTTCTGTTGTTAAGTTGTTGGAGTTTTATGTATATTTTGGTTATTAGATTCTTGTCAGATACATGGTTTCTGAAGATATTTTCCCAGTCGGTAGCTTGTTTTTTCATTTTTTTGGTAAAATCTTTTGACGAACAAGAGTTTTTAATTTTTATGAGGTCTTATTTATTTATTTTGCCTTTTGCTGTTGGTGCTTTTGTTGTTATATTAGATAATGCATTGTTAAAGAGGGCTGACAGTATTGCCCCTGCTTTTCCTCTAAGAGTTTTATGGTTTTAGTTTGCAAATTTAGGTCTTTAATCCATTTTGAATTTGTTTTTGTGTATGGTATGAGGCATGGATCTTGTTTCATTTTTCTGCATGTGGAAATTTTCAGCATCATTCATTGAAGAGACTCTTCTTTCCCTGTCAAATGGACTTAGCACTCTTGTCAAATATCCATTGACTGTAGATGTGTGGGTTTATTTCTGGACTTTCCATTCTATTTCATTGGTCTGTTTTGATTACTGTAGCTGTATACCTGTTGTGGTCGAGTCGATTCCAACTCATAGTGACCCTATATGACAAAGTAGAACTGCCTGATAGGGTTTCCAAGGAGTGGCTGGTGGATTTGAGCTGTATGAAAAAACAAAAAAACCCCAGCAAATCCATTGCTGTCGAGTCGATTTCAACTCATAGTGACCCAATAGGACAGAGAAGAACTGCCCCATAGGGTTTCCAAGGAGTGGCTGGTAGATTTGAGCTGTATGAAAAAACAAAAGACAAAACCAAATCCATTGCCACTGAGTCGATTTCAATTCATAGCAACCCAATAGGACAGAATAGAACTGCCCCACAGGGTTTCCAAGGAGCAGCTGGTGGATTTGAACTGCCGACCTTTCGTAGCTCTTAACCACTGTGTTTTAAAATCAGGTAGTGTGAGTCCTCCTACTTTGTTCTTCTCTTTCAACATTACTTTAGCTATTCAGGGTCTCTTGCCATTCCATATAAAGTTGAGGATTGGATTTCCCATTTCGGTAAGGAAGGCTGATGGAATTTTGATCGAGATTGCGTTGAATCTGTAGATTGCTTTGGGTAATATTGACATCTTAACAATATTAAGTCTTCTGATCCATGAACATGGAACTAGTTTGAGTCTTTGTTTTATTAGAAAGTCCAGGTGAATATTACTAGTCTTTCCTACTATCATTTTTAACTTTAGTAAATGTGGTCCAGGGTTGAGCATATTTTTTCTAGAATGGACCAGTTAGTAAATATTTCAGGCTTTGCGGGTCTGTAGTGCAAAAGCAGCTGTAGATAATGCGTACACCAGCGGGCATGGCTGTGTTCAAATAAAACTTTATTTACAAAACCAGAAGTTGGGCTAGATGGGTCCAATGGGCTGTTATTTGCTGGCCCATGATGCAGTCTATTACCTATCTTTATGAAACTCAGGAAAAACATTATATAGGATAAAGGAGAGTCAAAGATTTGTTCTGCAAACGCGTGTCCACTCAAAACTATGTTATGATGTTGTCTGAGTTATCTAGTGCTTCTGTAACAGAAATACCACAAATGGTGGCTTTAACAAATTTATTTTCTCACAGTTTAGGAGGCTAGAAATCCAAATTTAGGGTGCTGGCTCCAGGGGAAGGCATTCCTTCTCTGTCTGCTCTGGAGGAAGCTCCTTGCCTCTTCTGAGCTGCTGCTCCTGGGCGATCTTCATGTGGTTTGGTACCACTCTTCCCCCATCTGTGCTCTGCTCGCTTGTTTAATCTCTTTTATATCTGAAAAGAGATTGACTCCAGATATACCCTACACTAATCTTGCATCATCAACGTAACAAAGACAGCTCATTCCCAAATGGGATTATAACCACAGGCACAGAGGTTGGGATTTACAACACGTTTTTGAGGGACACAATTCAATCCATCACAGATGTGAATCTTCTATCTTCATGCATTGCTGAAATATCCTAGATTCTTATTTTTCTCATCTAAAAGAAAGCAAACAGATTCACATATTGACTTTGTTCAGAACCATGTGGTATTGGTACAATATATAACAAAAAGTAAGAAATGACACAGTGTTTTGATTTCAGGCTGAGAAATGATATAGAGTTCTATCTGAGAAAGAAGACAATGTAAAACTTAAGAATTTTCATTGCTTTCCTTTATTCTATGGTTATTTTATTTTAGAATGAAGAGTTTAAAGGAAATGGAACTACAATTCTTAAATATTCATTCTACTTTAGAAGTTATGTCCTTTTTGCCATTTTATTATAACAGTTTTTAGTTTATTGACAGATTGACTTCTTTTGAATTAATATGGATTAGTAATGAAAAGAGGGAGCCCTGGTGGCAGAACGGTTAAGCACTTGGCTGCTAACCGAAAGGTTAAAGGTTCAAACGCACCCAGTGGCTCCGTGGGAGAAAGACCTGGTGAGCTGCTCCAGTAAAGATTACAGCCTAGAAAACCCTATGGGGCAGTTCTACTCTGTCACATGGGGTCACTATGAGTCTAAATCTACTTGACAGCACCCAACAATAATGAAAGGTCAAAGGTAACAGTTATAGGTTGTCGTTAAGGTCAGGGAAGAATCAAAATAGACAGTATTGTTGATTAGTATTTGTTAATTCATTGTTCTACCCACATTTTTTAATTGTGTATATTTTTCTGATTTTTAAGTTTTATCATATTCCCACTCCCATAGCCTCCCTCCCTCCTTTCCTTCCTTCCCTCCCACTCCCTTCCTCCCCCTTCCCTGTCTCCCCCCACTCTTTCCTTTCTTCCTTCTTCCCTCCCTTCCTTCCTTCCTTCTTCCCTCCCTTCCTTCCTTTTCCAATGATGTTGTGGTTTGCTAGATTTGCCAAAGTTGGGAGTAAACAGTGTTGAAGGAAGAGAAGAGCGTGTGAAGTTTTAACTGACATTCTTACACAGTTCAGTATATCTCACCAAAATAGATTTGAAAGCTCCCACAATGAAATTGGAAAGAGTGCTGTGAACCATGACCAATACTTTAAACCTTATGCTTTTAAGACATAGTTACAACTAATAGTAAGTTTTTTCACATTCATGTGGACCTATGTCTTATTTCAATGTAAATGAAATATTCATTGAAGAAGTGAAATTAACTGGTGATGTTGTTTTGATCTAGAGAATGCAGCACTGTCCTGATCTAGTGAGCTTTATGATGGAGTTGAAGATGATTTTGGTAAGAAGTTTTTTTTTTTTCTGATACTGTTACTGTATTCTACAAGTGTTGATTGTTTCTGTAATTCCTTTGAAAACCAACGTGGTTTGAATTGACAACTTCTCAGCTCCCAGTCATTTAATGTTTTGTTTTCCTGTGTGCGTACATGCGGATGGTACTTCACTTGAACTGCATGAGGAACAGAACGGTGGGTAAGAACCAGTTTAATTGTATCACACTGGGTATGTTTGGCACTAATGGTGGGTGAAGAAGTTAAATTTATTCCTGGCCAGTCAAAGAATTTAACATCTAAAGAGAGATTAGGTGGTCACACTTAAAGATATAATATGTTGCATAAATAATTTTGTATATGGCTTTAGATTTTTGAAAAACTTACTAAGCTTCATTACATACGGTAGTTGATTATTCAGTTAATCAACTATACATAAAGTACTTAATTAGTTTATGCTATAGACAGTTTATCCTTTTAAAAAGGAAGCCTTTTTTTATTATGCAAGTTTTCAACGTAACAAAACATAACATAAACATAAAGAAGAACAAAGAGTATCGTGAATGCCCATTGGCCCCTGACCTAACTTCAGCATTTTGCCAGTCCTGTTTTCTCCCCCACTATTTTAGGGGAAGGAGCTGGTATTTTTAAAGGAAATCCTGGACATCGTACCCTTCCTCCTTAAATATGTCTGTATATGTCTCTAACACCTAAGTGCTTTTTTTCCCTTTCTGTTCTTAAATATACTATCATCACCCCAACAAAGTTAATGCTATTTCCTTATAGCTGCTTTGAATCAATATCTAAACAAGGTCTCCACATTATGTTTAGTTGATATGCATCTTAAATCTTAATTTGTAACAGCATCCCTTCTTCCTCGACCCCTTTTTCCCCCATGTCACCTACTGGCTGAATAAACAGATTACGTGTGTTATAGTATTTCCCACCTTCTGGATTTGGTTTATTGCATCTTTATGGTATCTTTTGACATGTTCTTCTACCTATGTTTTTCTTTATAAACAGCATCTCCTCTTCCTCTACCGTTTTCCCCCCATGTCACCTACTTGCTAAATAAATAGATTGTGTGTTTTACAGTACTGGTTTATTGCATCTTCATGGTATCTTTTAACATGTTCTTCTACCTACATTATTCTTTGTAATCTGGTAGACCTAGAGATCTCAACAGATTTGTGTCATTTGCTCTGATAAGAATACTTGGTGCTCTGTTCTTCCTATTGTATTACATCTAGAGGTATGTGATGTCTAATATTTCCTATTTCAGTAAAGTCAAAATTGATCAGTAGGTTTAGATCCATCTACTATAAAGTTCCCCATCAACCTATCACCTAATGGTTTTAGCATCTGTTTTATAGTGCTTCTATAACAGAAATACCACAGGTGAATGGCCTTAACAAAGAGAAATTTATTTTCTCGCAGTCTAGTAGGCTAGAAGTCCAAATTCAGGGCATCGGCTCCAGGGGAAGGCTTTCTGTCTCTGTTGACTCTGGAAGAAGGTCCTTCTCATCAGTCTTCCCCTGGACTAGGAGCTTCTCCATGTAGGAAACCTGGGTTCAAAGGACACGCTCTGCTCCTGGCCGTGCTTTCCCCCTGTCTGTCTACTTGCTTCTCTCTTTTATATCTCAAAAGAGATTGGCTCAAGACACAATCCAATCTTGTAGATTGAGTCCTGCCTTGTTAACATAACTGCTGCCTAACCCACCTCATTAACCTCATAGAGGTAGGATTTATAACACATAGGAAAATCACATCAGATGACTACATGGTGGACAATCACACAATACTGGGAATCATGGCCTAGTCAAATTGATACACATATTTTTGGGGGACACGATTCAATCCATGACAGCATCCAATGATGATCGTTACCTATATGCAGTATTTCATGAGGAGTTACAATACGGTGATTTAAACAATTCTCTCATCTCTTTTGCATTCCTTAGCTGAAAATCTTCTATAAAGAACTTTCCCTGTTCAGTTATTTGGTTAACTTGAGGTACAGTCACACTGGAGAGATGGGATAAACGCTTCTTTCCTCCTTTAAAAAAAAAAAAAAAAATCACTGTTTAGAATGATAAATTGGTACCTAGCAACTGCCAAAAGGGACTAATGACTTTTTTTTTTTTTTAGTGTCATTATGAACTCATATATTTTACATATTTTAATTAATTTCAATCCATTGCAGTCACTATGTTTTTTGATGCTTACGTTGTCCCATTTTTGGTCATTGTAAAGCTGCTTCACTTTGGCTTCTGAGTTGCCTGAGCACAATGTGAGCTTTTTGCTTTCTGGCACCAGCTGACCTGATCTTACCCACTCATCCTGCCCCAGAATGGTAATCAGGCATTTCTCCAGAGTCATGGCTTCTCTGTGACAATCCGGGAACCGGAGTGCTTGTTGCTACTGCTTTTAGACCTCTTCCCTGGATAAAGTTCAGGGAAAATGTTTTTTAGGGAGAAAATAATTAATCATGAGTTCATATTGATATTTACGATTCAAATTCAGCATTATAGGGGTTTTACTTCTTTGATTTTTATTCTTGTATCTATTTTCCTCTGAAATCTTGATTTCTAATGATGTTAACATAATTACTTATTTGCCTTTTCTACATTTATTATTTATTTACATCAAAATAACAATACCAGTACTGCTACTAACAACTGAAAACAGTTTGATATTTCTTTGTGGTTCTTTTTGAGACCTTCTTAATTCTTTCAAATAGCTACCATGTATCGAGAACTCGGTTGCTAGATTTTGTTCTGAGTTCTTTATTTAATCCTGAGTTAGAGTTTTGATGAAATGGTTGGAATCCAAATAAAGAATTTAAAATTAATGTCTAATTAATGAAGTATCGAATTATAAACACTAATTGGTGCAGTGGTTAAGTGCTCAGCTGCTAACAGAAAGGTCGATGATTCAAACCCACCAGCCACTCCACAGGAGAAGATATGGCAGTCTGCTTCCATAAAGATTACAGCCTTGAAAACCCCATGGGGTAGTTCTGACCTGTGCTATAGAGTCACTGTGAGTCGGAATCAACTCGACAGCTCACAACGACAACAATTAATAATGATCAACATTAATTATAAATTTTGTCAAAGATCATAATATAATAACCTTAAAAAAGTTGAGTCGAAGAGGTGAAGCATATTTTTGTTGACATCCCTGTGACATTGGAAAAAACTTTGGAAATTTTTTTTTATCTTTTTATTGGAATCAGTAAGTTGTTCTTACATGAGGACTAAGAGAGCTAAAGTAAAACTGTGTATATCATGTCCTATTAAACTCATTTTACTGAAACTAACTTTAGTTGTAAGTCACAGTTTTATTTGTCATTTAATTTTGAAGAAAAACATTGGTTTATAGCTAAAATAAAATATTGAGCTTGACCTCTCATACACGATATTCTGGCGCATTTGTTATTATGTTTCAGAGTAAAATTGAGATCCTTTATTTTAGCTTTGGTAATGAAAGTGTGAGCAGAGTTGGTGTTATGGATTGAATTATGTCCCCCGAAAATATGTGTTGTAATTCCTAACCTCTGTGCCTGTGGTTATAATCCCGTTTGGGAATGGGTTATCTTTGTTATGTTAATGCGGCCGGATTAGTACAGGGTGTGTCTTGAGTCAGTCTCTTCTGAGATATAAAAGAGATTAAACAAGTGAGCAGACAGAGAGAGATGGGGTAAGACAGATGCCGAGACACATGGAGATCTCCAAGGAACCAGGAGGTGGAAGCTGAAGAGACAAGGACTTTCCTCCAGAGCTGACAGAGAGAGAAAGCCTTTCCCTAGAGCAGGCACCCTGAATTCAGACTTCTAAACTGTGAGAAAATGTATTTATGTTTGTTAAAGCCATCGACTTGTGGTATTTTGGTTATAGCAGCACTAAAGAACTAAGACGTTGCTGATTTTATTGCTAAGTTAACATACTTTACTTAAAATTGGAAGAAGTATGAATTATTTGTTGGGTGTTGTTAGTAATAAACCAGAAACCAAACTTGTTGCCATCGAGTCAATTCCGACTGATAGCGCCCCTATAGGACAGAGTAGAACTGCCCCATAGGGTTTCCAAGAAGTGGCTGGTGGTTTCGAACTGCCGACCTTGTGGTTAGCAGCTGTAGCTCACCGTAGCTCTTAACCACGGTGCCACCAGGGCATAATCACCAACGAAGTTAATTAGGAATGATGTCCAGATGGAATCAGTAGTTATTGAATTTATTCAGGAGATTTCACAAACCTTCAAGAGAATTTACCACTCACAACTCGGTATATAGAAGTTCAGTAAATATTCAATAAATGAACAATTACCTATATTTTAAAAGAACCCTGTGAGTTCGATTTATTATATTTCAATTTTTTTCAGGCCTCAGGCCTGGAAACTAGGAAATGTGAAAGTCAGGACTTAAAACCAATCAGTAGAGCCAGTGTCTTCTCTGCTGTGCACGGCTGCCTTCTTTTATACTCGGTGAAGAATGCACTCCTTTCTCCTGTTATGGTTCTAGACTAGGACTAACTTGTCTAAGCCAGAGTAGAAGGAAGAATTCACGCGTGTCGTTAACTGTAGGATTAAAGAAAAAAAAATTTTATTATTATCCAGGTCTCTTTTTATCTTCAATATTTGTGGCTAGCAGTGATTATTGTTTCTGAATAAAAATAGGAATTTCAAAAGAAATTCTGAGTGACTTCTGTATGTACATGTACAGGAACTATATTGACTAAATTTTTTATGAATAACTACTGAAGGATAAATTTAATAGTACAAATTTATTTCTATGGACCATTGGGCTATTTTTAGATAATATCATATTTTCTAGAGGTTAAGAAAAGTGCAGGATATTCCTTGACTTTTAGGAGCTTACATTCTGTTAAACCCATATGGATGTTCTGGGCTTTACAAACTTGCTTTCACAGTGTTTTATCCTAGAGCAGTTTGTTGTTGTTAGGTGCCGTCGGGTCGCTTCCGACTCATAGAGACCCCGTGTACAACAGATCGAAACACTGCCCGGTCCTGCGCCATCCTCACAATCGTAGTTATGCTTGAGCCCATTGTTGCAGCCACTGTGTCAGTCCATCTCATTGAGGGTCTTCCTCTCTTTCGCTGACCCTCTGCTTTACCAAGCATGATGTCCTTCTCCAGGGACTGTCCAAAATACATGAGACAAGGTCTTGCCATCCTTACTTCTAAGGAGCATTCTGGCTGTACTCCTTCCAAGACAGATACGTTTGTTTTTCTGGCAGTCCATGGTATTCAATATTCTTTGCCAACACCATAATTCAAAGGCGTCAGTTCTTCTTCGATCTGCCTTATTCCTTGTTCAGCTTTTGCATGCATATGAGGTGATTGAAAACACCACGGCTAGGGTCAGGCACCTCTTAGTCCTTAAAGTGACGTCTTTGCTTTTTAACCCTTTAAAGAGGCCTTTTACAGGAGATTTGCCCAACACAATACGTCATTTGATTTCTTGACTGCTGCTTCCATGGGCATTGATTGTGGATCCAAGTAAAATGAAATCCTTTACACTTCAGTCTTTTCTCTGTTTATTGTGACATATGTCCCTATTCAGTTATGAGGATTTTTGTTTTCTTTATGTTGAGATGTAATCCATACTGAAGGCTGTGGTCTTTGATCTTCATCAGTAAGTTCTTCAAGTCCTCTTCACTTTCAGCAAGCAAGGCTGTGTCATCTGCATAATGCAGGTTGTTAATGAGCAGTTTAGAACTAGATTAATAGTTAATAGTCTTGATTTTGAAATGCTGTTTTGTAAAATCTGTTCTTTCCTTGTGTTACCTCAATTTAATAGTATCCTGTCCATTATAAAAGGAGCCCTGGTGGTCCATGGTTAAGAACTTGACTGCTAACCAAAAGGTCCGCAGTACGAGTCCACAAGCTGCTCCTTGGAAACCCTATTGGACAGTTTTACTCTGTCCTGTAGGGTCGCTATGTGTCAGAATCAACTCGATGGCAGCGGGTTTTGATTTTATCCCTTATAAAAACGTCAAACAAACAAAAAACTTTAAGGACTACTAATAGGTTAATGTTATACTTAAAAGTGTAAAAAAATTTAAACCTTTTATGAGAGTTATATTTGCCAGAAATGTGTATAATTTTTAGCCTTGTTCCCATCTGGTTTTGTTGTTTATTTGGCTGATTTCTCTCTTGAGTTTAGTCCTTTACTTTTTATACTACCTTTTAATAATCCAGACCATATGAGCATCGAAGTAATTTATGGATACACTTATTTTTATTTTCTAAAGAAGACATTTGTCTTTAAATAAAAGCCTGAACTCAAAGTACACTGCCTAGACTAACATATTTGTATGCCTTTAGACAGCACATTCTTACAAACTAAAATCCCTCGTTATTATAATAAATACCGTATTTTTAAGCAAATAACATGCACGTTCTATGTATGTTTACCTACTCTACCCCCCATCCCATGAGATATTTTCCTAAGCACATTATGCTAATTTTTTTTACATGTTGCTGTAAAAAATATTAGTATAGCTTGCTTATGAAAATACCTTGCTGGGGGGGAAGGGCTTGGTTGGCAAACAAACATAGAAGGCACGCGTTATTTGCGTAAAACTATAGTATTTACCTGCTAATTTCTTTCATTCCCTTATATTCTCTATTAACTTCCCGTTTGTTGATGTTGCTAGGTGTCTTCGAGTCGATTTCAGCTAACTGTGAACCCATGTGACAAAGTAGAACTGCCTCACAGGTTTTTCTGGGCTGTAATCTTTACGGGGGTAGACTGCCTGGTCTTTCCCCCACGTAGCCACTGGGTGAGTCTGAACCACCAACCTTCAGGTTAATAGCTGAGCACTTAACTGCTGTACCACCAAGGCCCTTAATCCTCCTAGCAATTTCAGAGTAATCGTTAGTTTTCAGCATCAGCAATTCTAGTGATGTTTGTATTGCATTTTAAAAAATGTAAATTTTGGTTTGAGTTGAAGGAACATAAACCATCTTAAAAAGGTCCTGGGTTGGCCCAGCAGGGAAGGGGCCGGGATCTAGCCAGATGAATGGCAGAATACTTGGACCTACATAAAGGAGGATTAAGGGCCTTGGTGGTACAGCAGTTAAGTGCTCAGCTATTAACCTGAAGGTGGGTGGTTCAGACTCACCCAGTGGCTACGTGGGGGAAAGACCAGGCAGTCTACCCCCGTAAAGATTACAGCCCAGAAAAACCTGTGAGGCAGTTCTACTTTGTCACATGGGTTCACAGTTAGCTGAAATCGACTCGAAGACACCTAGCAACATCAACAAACGGGAAGTTAATAGAGAATATAAGGGAATGAAAGAAATTAGCAGGTAAATACTATAGTTTTACGCAAATAACCCGTGCCTTCTATGTTTGTTTGCCAACCAAGCCCTTCCCCCCCAGCAAGGTATTTTCATAAGCAAGCTATACTAATATTTTTTACAGCAACATGTAAAAAAAATTAGCATAATGTGCTTAGGAAAATATCTCATGGGATGGGGGGTAGAGTAGGTAAACATACATAGAACGTGCATGTTATTTGCTTAAAAATACGGTATTTATTATAATAACGAGGGATTTTAGTTTGTAAGAATGTGCTGTCTAAAGGCATACAAATATGTTAGTCTAGGCAGTGTACTTCGAGTTCAGGCTTTTATTTAAAGACACATGTTCTCTATATCAAAACATCATCCCCATGGGGGTAGAAAGAGAGAGAGGCCTCTATTGAGAATGAAGGTTTTTAAATTTTTTAAATTTTTTTATTACCTCTTTTCGTTACTGGCAGGCATAAGAGTGTAGGAGAACACTACAATCTGCCGTTCTTTTCATGGTCTAATAAATGACGTTTTGGAGCACCTTCTGTGCGGTCCTTGTACTTTTTCATGTCTCTCTTTCCTGAGAAGGGGGATGAGCCAGCTAGACTTCCTGTAAGAATAATGGGCACTTCAGTTAGGCACAAAGAACATTATGGAATTGTAGTTTGTAATCAGGTGCTGTCAGTTCCTTGTCCCGCACTCCACAGCTGAGTCAGGTTTTTTTGTTTTCAACAGGAAGTTGCTTTAAAGAATAAACAGGAGCTGCATGCACCACCACCCCCTCCCCAGTTCTACTCGCGCCTTATTCACGAGCTGGGAACCCTCGGCTGGGACAAGTAAGTCTGTTTCAGAATATGTTTTAGAAATGCCTTTGTTTTCCACATTTCAATTTAATGTATGATCAGTTTTAGCAATTTATTGTCTACCTGGTTTTGGTCAAAGGTGTTACAGTGTCATTAGACTATCTGATCTTTATTGTGGCTATGAATTAGGGAGAGGGTATCACAAAAAAGGTAACCTAAAACGTAAAATGCTAAATATTATTTGGAAAAAAATAACATTTTTATATACATAGTAAAATGTTAACATAAATAGATATTTTTTTTGAAAGTGTAACATTATTCTAAATGTTACTAAATTATTGGTGTTTAAAAAGTGATGTCTAGAAACTTACTGAAAATGATGGAAACAATTGATGTATTTTTGGAACATATATATGTGTGTATACATATACACACGAATATATATATATGGTCATTATATTTGTATATGGTTATTCTTTTTTGGTTAATATGCATTCTGCCTGTCTGTATTGAAATATACTTTAAATGGTTTTATAACTTGTGTAGCAGACTCAGCAACTAACAGTTCTTCCTTTTCATAAATGTGGCTGTTTTCTTCTTGGTTCTTTGCTTTTCTTCCCTCATAGAGATTACCATTCTTAGCCATTCACCTACCACGATCATGTACTTCTGAATTACAGGTATTTTATATTTCTATCAAGTTCCGTAACAACATTTAACTACAACAGATTGACGTCTTTACCTCAAGCAAACATACAAAACTTTCTTACCCATCACTCCCGCTTCTTTCAAAAACAGACCAACCACCCTCTACCTGAGTTCTTCTTTTGTAATGACTAAGCTTCGGTTCCAGGCTTTTCTCTGGTTATGTGGGCTGCAATACACCTTGAGTGTTTTCATTTGTTAATTTCTAGTCAATTGTCATGCTTCTCTTACATTACTGTGTTGGAAAATTCTCTGTTTTATAAGATAGTCCATTTGATTTTTTAATAACTCTTTTTTTGACAGACCACGTGACTCACTTGGTTGTATTTCCAGTCATGAGTTACTCATTTCCATGTGGTGCCCAGAACTAAGAGAAGTATAGTCATTCCCCAGTTAACAAAAGTATTCTAAGTTTGTACGTTTGATACTTGAAAATGAAAGTACATTCCTCTTAAGTGGAAATCCTAACCCATAAATAACAATTTTGAAACTGAAATTCAGCTTTTAGGGTCTCTTAAAAACTGATATGAGAAGCAGAAATGATTGTATGTATCATGAAGAAAGAGGAACAAAAAAGAGAGCCCCTCCCACTAACTCGGAAACCCTGGTAGCTTAGTGATTAAGAGCTACAGCTGCTAAGCAAAAGGTCGACAGTTCAAATCCACCAGCCACTCCTGGGAAACCCTATGGGGCAGTTCTACTCTGTCCTGTAAGGTCGCTATGAGTCGGAATCAACTTGATGGCAGTGGGTTTGTTTTTTTGGTTTTCTTAGTCACTCATTTCCTTGGGCAACAGGTTAATCGTAGGCAAACTTGTGAAATAAAAAATGTTAAACTGTTTTACCTATTTCTAGTTCCCTCCCAGTGACTCTGTAAACTTCAAAGTCCCATTGATCACACTTTACCAGCCACTGACCTCTTCTCCCCTCGCTGCTGCTTCAGGGTAATCCGTCCCATCGGGACCTCGGGTTCTTCCCCTTAGCTTGTTAGTTTTTTTGGTCTTGTTTTCTAAATAAAGTGTAGAACTTTGTGTTCAGTGCTTTTGAATTATCCTGATTGCTTTGAATTCAAATGTATTACATTCGTCTTTTACTTTTACTTTAAAAATAATTATAATTAATAAAAAAGTTAAAAGGTAACACGTGCCCATAGCTAAAGAATTAAAACAGTACAAATGGTATAAAACAAAATATAACTCCAGCTTCACCCTGAACTCCAGACTTCCCGGTTTCCTTCCAGAGACATGCTTAATGTTTTGTGTTTTCCAGAGATCTTTTACTCATACACCAGCAGATAGTTACATGTAATTTAAAAAATTTCTAACTTTTTGCTATTGCTCTGTGAAAGGTAGTTGATTTTTTTTGCATGAATTTTTTAAAAAACTTTTGATGCATACAAAAAAGTACACAAAATCTTAAGTGTTCAGCTCTCTGAATTTTTGTAGTGTGAGCACAGTTATGAAATGAGCATCTAAATCAAGAAATAAAACCATTAGAACCTCAGACGTTTTCTTGTGCCCTTCTTATTAATACTGTACCCCAAAAGGAACGATTATCCTGACTTCTAACACCATAGAATAGTTTTGCCTATTTTTTGAAAGTCATATAAGTGGATTCATATAGTATGTACAATTTGTATCTGGCCTTCCTTTCCTTAACTTCTGTTTGTGAGATTTATCCACGTTGTTGCAATTTTTCAGCCAGTTTTATTGTCATGCAGTATTCCATTGTAGCCAAGTTTATCCGTTCTACTATTGATGAATATTTGGATTGATTCCAGTTTTTGGCTGTTGTGAATACTGGTGCAGTGACTGTTTGGTACCATTTCTCTTGGTTATATAACTAGAGTAGAGTTCCTAGGTCATAGATTATGCATATGTTCAGTTTTCAAAGATACTGCGAAGCCATTTTCCAAAGTGGTTGAACCAATTTAAACTCCCACTATCACTTCATAAGAATTCCAGTTGCTTCACATTGAGGTTAGCCTTTGATATTGAAGGTTTATAGTAATCTTTTGCAAGGTTGTTGAAATCTTTGATGCATGATGGTGAGGACTAACTGATGTTTACCCATAAGGTTTTAGGCTTTATTTGGTAAGGCATCATTAAAACCTGTTGCCCTCAAGTTGATTCCAAATCATAGCGACCCTATACGACAGGGTAAAACTGCCCCATAGGGTTTCCAAGGGGCAGCTGGTGGATTAGAACTGCCGACCTTTTGGTTAGCAACCAAGCTCTTAACCACTGCACCTCCGGAGCTCTGAGGCATCATTACTGAGTAGGATTTGGGATGGCTGGGAGCTTTTTAGTAAAATTAAGTGTAACAGTTGAGGGGAGAGGCAGGGAAGACAAGTGATGAACAGATGCACGTGTAGCAATTCAGGCTGAGATTGTAAAGACTTGTCTTGAGGGGATTGATGTCATGGACCTAGTCATTGTTTGGACATAGGTTGGTGGAAGAGAGAAGAATAATTCTGATTTGTTTTTGGATGCTTAAATGTTAAGATCTTAGTGTTTGGGGGATACTTCGGAATGTAGGAAAGGGAACTGGTTTGGTAAGGCGAGAAGAAGGGTTCTTCTTGCTTTAACTTTTTTATATTGGTATGGAGAGTTTGAGGCAACTTTTGTAAGTGGATCTGACGTGGTTGGGAGAACTCCACTAATGAAAATCAGTTGAGGTATTGAAAATGCAAATGTGAGATTTTTGAATCATTAATTTTTCATCAAACTAGTGTTTATTGAGTACCTATAATGTGAGGTAGTAGGGGTACAGTGATAGGCAAGACTTATGGTTCCTCATAGAACTTAACTTCTAGTGGAAGAGTTAGAATTTAAGTAGCTCATCACAGTCATACTGAATTAGAACTGTGATAAGTACCATAGAATATAATTATAGGATTCCTTGAGAGCCATTAGCAACAAAGTTATAGTAGAAATAGTGCAAGTATATCAAACATTTAATGGAATAAGTGTTTTAAGAGGTAAGTAGATGGTATTGAGTTGGTCTTTGCTTTGTACCCATTGTTGACATGAGAGTAAAAGGAACAGATTTTTAACTTGGATAGTAGATGAAATTCAAAAGTAAAGGTACAAACACTTCTCCTGTATCACTCCTAAAACCCAAACCTGCTGCCATAGAGTTGATTCTGATTCATAGTGACCCTATGGGACAGAGTAGAACTGTCCCATAGGGTTTCCAAGGCTGTAAATCTTTATGGAAGCAGACTGCTACATCTTCCTCCCATGGAGCAGCTGGTGGGTTTGAACCACCGACCTTGGTGCGCAGCTGAGCGCTTAACCAGTGCACCACCAGCACACCTTCCATGTCACTCATCACATTATAATTGTCTGTCTCCACCTTAGACGAAGATCTTTACATACAGTGACTGCCACTTTGAACTGTCTGTTATGTGCCAGATGTGACTGTGCTAGCTACTTTATATAGTTCTGGTTTAATCCTCATAATAAATTTCATGATATATATTTTTATTCCCAACTTCAGATATAAAACCAGTATATAGACAAGGCTGGCTACATAGCACTATTCAGCATTCTGCATGAGTGATAAAAAACCCAAACTCGTTGCCATCAAGTCAATTCTGACTCATAGCGTCCCTGTAGGACAGAGTAGAACTGCCCCGTAGGGTTTCCAAGGAGCAACTGGTGGATTCGAACTGCGAACCTTTTGGTTAGCAGCTGAGCTCTTAACCACTGCACCACCAGGGCTCCCTGTGACTGATACTCCCTGGCATTTTGTTAGGGGGTAGCTCTGATGTGGAGCCTTCAATAAAGTTCCCTCAAGAACCTGGAGCTAGTTACACACTGAGCGTGAAACTAATTTAAAAAAAAACCCACCTCACCATAGATAAAGTTGGCCATTGACAGAATCAGCCCACCCTCAGAGATGGTTTTGAAGTCTGTTGTTTATGTTTGTGAGAGGTCACGGTTTAATTGCAGCGACCAGGATAGATGATTGATTGAAACTATAGCTGCTGCTACCTAATCGTTTGTTCTGTAGTCTTTACAAATAAAGAGTGTGGTGGCAGAAGAGAAGTTGTCTGCATGGATTGTATTAAAGGAGGAACCAAAGTAAGATTTTGTCAGTATTTATTCAGCACTGTCTGGTGGAGTTAAGACCATCCTTCTCAGTTTCATTCCTGTGAATTAATTCATAAATCAGGTCTGGTTCCTGATTCACCGATCAAATTGGGTTTCTGGACCCAGAGAGCTAAAGCCAAGACCTGAACTGCGCTGTTCCCATATCAGAATTGCTACCTTTTGAGGCCCTGCCCAAGCAGCTGGCTGGCTTCTGAATTTACAATATCTTTTAA